CTGGGCACAGTGGCCCATGCCTGTAATCCCAGCACTTTGGGAGGCCAAGGCAGGAGGTTCGCTTGAGCACAGGAGTTCGAGACCAGCCTGGGCAACACAGTGAGTCCAGGTCTGTACACACAAATTTTAAAAATAGCCGGGCTTGGTGATGGCACATGCCTGTAGTCCTAGCTACTTGACAGGCTGACATTGGAGGATCACTGAGCCCAGGAGGTTGAGGCTGCAGTAAGCAGTGATCTCATCCACTGTACTCCAACCTGGCAACAGAGTAAGATCCTATCTCCAAAAACAATTTTTAAAAACCAAGTAGACAGGTGTCCTGGTGGCATGATAGGTCCTGGGTCCTCTTCCAGATCTGTAACCTTGGACAGGTGACTTTTCCTCTGGACCTCAGTGTTCCCATCTGAGTGAGAAAAGGCAGTGGGGAGGCAGATCTTCGAGTCTAAGTGGTATAGAAGCCACATCTGAAAAGCCATACTTAGGGCTCCAAGCCCAGCGCACAGTCCCAGCAGGGCCCGGCAGGGCGGCCAGGGCAGCACAGGCATTAGGTTCCACCCTTCTTCCCTCTTTGCCCACTCTCAGACCAAGGAATTCATCTCGGAGCTGCGGTCCAACCTGTACTCACATGGGGACCAGAACACACTGATAGAGGAGTCAGCAGAGCAGGCACAGTGGGGCGACGAGATGCTGCGCATGCACCACATGCTGACGGAGGTGCTCAGCATCATTGGTGACATCAACACGACCACCATCAACACGACCACCATCAGCACGCCCACAGGGGCCCGTGGATGACTCCTGGCTGCAGGTGCAGAGCATCCCGGCCAGACGCAGGTACCAGGGCTGGTCCCCACGGTCCCAAAGCCCCCCCAGCCTCCCTGACTGAGCCTGGGGGCTCTTGGAACGGGCTCCATGCCCAGGCTGGCAGACATGGGTGCTCTCTGGATCTGTCAGAGACGGCAGAGAGCTTGCGGTTTATGGTGGGAGCTTGGAGGGGGTCGTGTGTGGGGCTGGATTCTGAGGCGGCCAGAGGTCTAGGAACATCATCCTGGGCACGCTGTACCTGTCATGCAGTCTGAGTCATGCTGCCAGGGCAGGTATCCAGCTCCCAGCCTGGGAGTGCTGAGAGCCAAATCCACTGCAGAGCGGTGGTGATAGTCGGGGTCCCACCTCCTCTATTTGTTGCAATCCAGTGGTGATCTAGGATAAAACCTTGAGACTCCCATGCACACGGTCATCCCACAACACACTTCACAGACCGGGCAGGGACACAAAGCCCCCTTCCCTCCCTCCCAGGTACCATCATAGCTGCTCGTGTGGACTGAAGGCAGGGTCCCTGGCCCCCGCTGAAGCACTACCGCTGACCAGCAGGCTCACTCACCTTGGCCTGTTGCTCCTAGGGGTCACCTATGCTATTCAGCCAAGGAGACCACAGTGCCTGCTGGCCTGGCTGAGCTCTGTCCAGTGAGCCTGCCCGCCTCTCCTGCCACAGACTCTCCCTCTTCTGCTTTTTTCTGCAGGAAGGGCCCAGCCTCACCTATGTGACCTGCAGTCCCCCAACAAGCTGAGGCTTCCCTCTTAGACTTACAAATCTATGGCCAGTGGCATCTGGCTGCCTGCCCTCCTTGCCTACCCAAGGGTCCTCTCAGAGGGTCCTGGGCTTTCTGATGGCCCAGAGGGGCCTCCGGCGCTCATTCCAACCGTCCATCCCTTTTAGCGTCATCATCCTGGTTCAAGCAGTATTCCTTCCCTATCAGGCCTGGTGGCTGTTGCTTGGGGCTCCCCAAGGTGAGGGGTGGCCCTGGGCCAGTGGGTTGGAAGACAGGGTAACCAGAGAAAAGGGAAGCCTGAGGGGACTGAGCATTGGTCTGAACTGTGGGTGCACTGCCTGGATGCCGTGGGAGAGGCGTATGTGGGGTGTGGAGGGCCGCTGCAGCCCCCAGGCACTACCTGTGAAGCTCCGGCTCTTCCTTCCATCTTCCTCCCTTTTCCCTTCCAGCCCCTTTTCCAGGAACCTTACTACACACCCGCACCTGCTCCCTCCCCTCCCTGGCCCTCACACAGCTCTTGCATTGTGCCCGTGCTCTGCGCTTGCCTCACCAGCAATCTGCTTCCTTTTCTCTCTCCCGTTTTCTCTCTGCTTCTCTCCAACTGCCCGCTGATCAGGTCAGGCAAGTCCATCCCGTCCTGAGAGTCCCAGGCCCTGCTTCGACCTCTAAACAGATCTCTCCTCTTCTCGGAGGCCTCTCTTTCCAAGCCTGCCTGGGCGGGTGTCCTGTGACTTGACAGTGGATCCCCAGCCCCAAAGCCTTCATCTGTGACTTAGTCTGTTGTAGTGGTGAGCTGACACTTCCAGCTGTGACCGTTGCTGAAAACTTGTGCCCCCTCTGTGGTATGCCCCTGCCCTGTTCTGTAAATAGCGATACTCATATGTATATGTGCACACCTATACATGGCCGATGGCCTCGCCTCTAGCACTGGGAATCAGTCCCCGTGCTGTCCTTGTGGAGTCTTGTGGCCCAACAAGAGAAAGCCGTCCCCTGACATCGCCCCTCCAAAGTGTGCCACCTCCAGTGAGCCTGTCATGTGGACAGCCAGCCCCCGCCATCCCTCCCACCCTCCACCAAGCATGGGGGTGCTGTGCAGGCAGCTGCGTGGACTGACAGTCTCTACCAGTCCTCTGTCCCTCGGCTGAGAAACCCATTTCTGGATGACGGGCAATGTGTCCTCTGCTGGCTGTGTTCTCTGTGGAGCTCAGGGGAGGGGAAAGGCCAAGCCATTTCTAGGGTGCTGTTGGGAGTGGTGAAAAGGCTACAGCCTTTCCAAGGGACACATTTCCTGGAAAGTCCCTGGAGCTTAGCTGGTTCTTATCCTGTGATGCCGGCTCTGGCCACTAGGGGGCAGGGTCATGAACTCAGCCTGGAGGGAGACTGAGGGGCAGCCTGCACTCTGGAGGGACAGACAGAACAGGCCACCCAGTGCAGTCAGGAGAGGGAGGCAGGCGGACGGAAGGGAAGACACCTGGGGTAGATGGAAGTCAGTGCCCTTGGGTGCTGGTATCTGTCTTCCCGGCCACAGCTAGATCAGGCTTCTGAGCCTGTTGGCTGTCAGGGCGGGACTGTGCCCATTAGGCACCATGGCAGTCCCCGTCACGTCCACTAGGTGTCACCAGGCAGCATACAGGTAACAGGCCTGGAAGATCCCCAACAGCCCAGCTGCTGGACATGCTCAGACACTCTGGGGCTCCTCGTTCTGTGGGACAAACTGCAGGACCCAGTGAGGGAAACGGGAACACACCAGGCTGAGCAGTATAGCTAAATCCATTTATTCCACAATGAAAAGTGAAATAAACAGGAGTCACATCACCAAGGGAGCCACGACCCCATCCCCGCCTCCTTCCTCTGTCCTATGCTAGGAATAAATAAGTTTCCCAGCTGCAAATAATTATTAGAACCTCCTCTCCTTATGCCAGCTCCAACCTCCACTAGGTACAATACAGGGGGTGGCCCTACCCCCCAGAATGTTACACAAATTCAATGTGTATACTGGGGAAGCGGGAGTCACCCCAGCAGCCCATGCCCTCACTTGGTCTACTGTTAGCCCCACTGTCCTGGTTCAGCTGCCTCTCTGAATAAGATGGGAGCCCCCCAGGGAAAAGTTGCTTTGGTGAGAGTAGAGAGGTCATCAGGCCTCCTCCAAACAAACCAACTCCATCAGCCTCTGGTTCTTAAATAACAAACATCATCGTCCAGAAATTCAAGGACTCAGCCATGGTCAAGGTGGCAAAAAGTCTGTCTCCCCCCATTAGACAGGGGTCTTGTCTTGCTACCCTAGTGGTAAACGGGTGACTGGGAAGGGGTGGCAGGGACATGGTGGGGGTGAAGACTCCAGACCCACTTCTCCAGGCTTATGCTGACAGGGGCCTGCTTTTATTTATTTTTATTTATATCCTGTGACTTTTTTTTTAATACCATAACTTCTTTTTCATAACTTTTTAAAATAACTTTTCATAAAACTTTTTTCTACTTTTTTTGACACACTTTTCCACGTTTTGCCCCATAACTCTTTCATCCCATAACTTTTAGTTTGTTCTTTTAATAAACACACTTACATAGTTATAATTTTGTAAAAATAAAAACAGATTATCTCATGCCAAGCGTGCCCAGTATTTGCACGCTATAGTATTTAATACTATAGTTTTCAAGACACACACAATTTTAAGGCAAAAACAACACTTTGCAACAATTTAATAATTTATTACATTACAGTAACATCGCAGCAGTCAACAATGCCACTTTAGGCAAATTCAATATTTCCCTTATATGATTCAGTATTTCCATATATATTCAATGTTTATAAGAATTCATAAATTGGTAAAAGTCATTCTAAGAAAACTTGGCAAATAAAGCTTTGGACTGGAATTGGCGTTTCTTTCTCTACTTTTCCTTCCCCTAGTTTCTTTTTTTTTAAACTATAGTATTCATATTTAAAATGTTTTAACTTATTTCAAAACATTAAGATAGCAGTTACATTTTTGAATAGTTATTTAAAAATGACTAACATAAAGTTTTAGAGAAACTCTATTATGGATAGGGCTGATTTACATTTTCACATTTTCTAAAAATCAGCTTTGGTTTTAGAATTGATTTTTTTCATTTCTGGAAAACCTAAAGTTTAATCAAATACTTTAAAAATGATTATCATATATTGCAATCTTTAAATAGGTATTTTGATTCTTCCTACAGAAATTCAAATTTATTCAGTTGAACTCACATTTTAGATTTTATGTTTCTGATTAACTCTAACCTTCTAATGTTGCCTTCTAAGCAAATTGAAAGCTGCCTTATACTGAATGAGGAAGAGAACAAATACTTGGCTGAATGAGGTATTGCAAACGACTGCATGCACTTTGAAGAAAGACTAAAGTTATTATCATAGAATTTCCATTCTTTTTAGCTTTTTCTTAAACATATGACAAAATTCCTACACAAAGAGTGGTATTTCAGTTAATATAGCACTTTTATTTTTCAGACTGACATTCAGCTTAAATATGCCGGTATGTGATTTAATCCAGAGGTCCCTGATGAACACATTATTGTCAGATAGGTTACAGATGCTAAACACTATCTGAAGGTCATTCCTAGTCATTTATATGTGTCAAGTAAAAGTGAAGTGATTTGAACTGTCAAAATACAGAGTGAACATGAGGGAAAGACCCACTCTCCTTTAACTTTCTACAAATAAATTTAAGTTAGAAACACAAATAAACATGAGTGGCTCTAACATTCAAATGAAGTAAATGAATTGTGTAGGAGATTAACCCCTAAACTTTTTTCGTTTGTTTTTAAATTTCTTGACCAGCTCTTAGATGATGATGATGTTTATCTCCCTGATCTCGGCACGGTGAAAAGAATGGCATGCAGGGGTTGCTGCGCAAGCCTCGGTGCTCCTGGAGAGTCCTGCGTTAGAGGAGGCAGCTGCACGATCTGCTGTGCCGTGGGGTTGTGGTGGGGAGAACCCTCCCTGGCCTCTCCTGGTGCAGGCTCCACGCTGTCAGTGAGGCTCAGCCACGAAGATCTTCAGACAGAGGGAGGAGGGGATCTGAGGTCAGTGCGAGCCTCCCCTGCTCCTGCCCGCCCACCCCGCCTGAGCGCTCTACCCACCACCCTGCTTGTCAGCACAGCCAAGCTCCTGGGGTATTGGGGCTCCTAGAGCGGGCTGATCAGCAGGGCTCTGGGCAGTGGTCAGGAATTTGTCGTGCCCCTCATTGTGGTCGCCCACAAGCCACAACACCTGTCCCTGCAGCTCCAGCAGGTTCACCTGGAGGGAGGGGTGCTTAGCTGTCATGCTGGTGCTGGCGCCCAAGTTCACCCCCACCCCCACCCCCGCAGAGATGGCCCCATGCAGGGCTCTGTGGGTCTCCCCACACACAGACTCACCCCCAGTCCCTGGGGTCCTCTGAGATGAAGCCACTGGGTGAGCCAGGGGCTGGGAGCACACCCTTTGCTATTCCTGGGCACTGGCTCCAGCGTCGTTGAAAAATGCCACCTGAAGGCAAGAGATGAGTATTCTTGTAGGGACATACACAGAACAACCGGGGCAGGGAGGTGGAGCACAGCCACTTCCCTTGGGGCTCAGAGTGTGCACCTGTTGGTCACAGTGAAATGGTGTTTGACCACTGGCTCCCGGAAGGAGTGAAAGTCCACAGAAATCAGAAGGCAGGGAAACCAAGAACATAAGGGGATCTGGGAGGGACCAGCGAGGAAGGTGACAAAGTAGGGGCAGGGAAAGTCAGGCTCACCTGACCTCCCGGCTCTCCTGGTCCTCAGGGATGTTCTGCATGGGCCGAGGTGCCTCCTCCTCCTCACTGTCCAGATGTCCTCCTCCATCTCTTCTAGGGAGTGGCCAGAGGGGTCCTCAGACAACCCAACAAGGGAAGTGGGGGTCCACCTCTGCCCCCACCCTCACTGTGTAGCCCTGAGCCAGCCCATTCCCAGAGGGGAATGAGCTGTTCTGTATTATTACTTTTAAGAACCAAGATCTTGCTATATTGCCCAGGCACAGTCCCACTACCGATTGGTGCCGGAGTCCTGACCTGGTCCCTTTCTGATCTGGGCCAGTTCTCCCGTCTTTAGGCAACCTGATGGCCCCCTGCTCCCAGGAGGTCACCATATTGATACCGAACTTAGCGTGGACACCCGGTCGGCATAATGACCAGCTGTGTTAAAGGTGTCTTCCAACTCCTCAATCCTATGCTGCTAACAGTCCCCCTTTCCTCCTGGGGCTCTCGCCTCTTCCTCCGAGTGGTCTCCCGTACCTTCCCCAGGGAGAGCCATGAGGCTCAACCTGGCTTTAGCTGCTGTTTCTGCTGGCTGGTAGCTTCCAGGTGCTCCTAAGAGGCCAGGAAAGAGAGTGAGAAGGCACGGAGGTTGCCAGGTTGTCCCTCTCGGGGCCCTGTCCTCAGCAACTCCCTCCCCGGGGTCTCCTGCAACTTTTGGCGGGCCATCTTAGCTACCACTTTGCCTTGAGCTTCCTGCTGCTGCAGCTGGTCCAGGAGCTGGGTCTGCAGCAGTAACTGCCTGTGCAGCACCTCCTCCTCAGAGGTCAGCTGCTGCTAAGCGACCACATACTGCTGCAGGTGACACAGGTACTGGTCTCCCTGCTGCTGCAGACTCTGAGCCTCTTGGCTCTTCAGCTCCACCTGCAGGATGATCCTGGGCATGAGGGCGTTTACTAGCTGGCTTCCAGATTCCTGGCCCATTAATAGGGTAGCAAGGGCACTGTGGTGCTCTGTGGCCTGCCCAGGCCCCTGGTCCCTTGCTCCAGGCCTCAGAGCCTGCCTCCCTTGCCTGGAACCCAATGCATCCTTCCCCAGCCTCAAATCTCACATGCTTTTCCCTATCATTTAAACTGTAGACCACAGACTAGTGGAAAACAGGGGGAGCCAACCAGCATCTGCTAAGTGTACTACATGCCTAATGTTTCCACGTATTATCTCATTTAATCCTCAGCACCTCTGCAAGGAAAACGCTAACTTCCTTTTGAAGTTAAAGAAACAGAGACTTAGGCCGGGTGCGGTGGCTCAAGCCTGTAATCCCAGCACTTTGGGAGGCCGAGACGGGCGGATCACAAGGTCAGGAGATCAAGACCATCCTGGCTAACATGGTGAAACCCCGTCTCTACTAAAAATACAAAAAACTAGCCGGGCGAGGTGGCGGGCGCCTGTAGTCCCAGCTACTCCGGAGGCTGAGGCAGGAGAATGGCGTGAACCCGGGAGGCGGAGCTTGCAGTGAGCTGAGATCAGGCCACTGCACTCCAGCCTGGGCGACAGAGCGAGACTCCGTCTCAAAAAAAAAAAAAAAAAAAAAAAAAAAAAAGAACTTTGCTGGCGGTGCTCAAGCTGTAATCCCAGCACTTTGGAGGCCGAGATGGCGGATCACCAGGTCAGGAGATCGAGACCATCCTGGCTAATACGCTGAAACCCCGTCTCTACTGAAAAATACAAAAAACTAGCCGGGCGAGTTGGCGGGCGCCTGTAGTCCCAGCTACTCGGGAGGCTGAGGTAGGAGAATGGCGTGAACCCGGGAGGCGGAGCTTGCAGTGAGCTGAGATGCAGCCACTGCACTCCAGTCTGGGCGACAGAGCGAGACTGCATCTCAAAAAAAAAAAAAGAAAAACTTAGAAATGCAAAGTAGTTGAATGATAACCAGTAGAACTGAGTCCGGAAACCAGTTTGAGTCTAAGGAGTCTTTTTGGTTTCTGCGTTTTGTTTTGTTTTCAGACAGTGTCACTCTGTGTCCCGGGCTGGAGTCCAGTGGTGCGATCTCAGCTCACTGCAACCTCTACCTCCCAGGCTCAAATGATTCTCATATCTCAGCCTCCTGAGTAGCTGGGATGACAGGCATGCACCACCAGGCCTAGGTAATTGGTTTTTTTTTTGAAATTTTAGTAGAGATGAGGTTTTGCCATGTCAACCAGGCTGGTCTCAAACTCCTGACCTCAAGTGATTCTCCTGCCTCAGACTCCCAAAGTGGTGGGACTACAGGCGTCAGCCACCACACCCAACATAAGGAGCCTCTTATACCACTGTCTCTTCCCCTGTGACTGGGGGGCTCCATGGCTCTAGCTGGGATGATGATATCCAGACCTGGGGGGAGCCCAGGGCTCCCCACCTCTAAAAGTCAGAGGGAAAGATGCAAGAAACATAATAGGACTGCCCTGGAGAGTGCTGGGGTCACCTGCCCCCAGGTTGCAGCTGCCTCTGGCCTGGCGCCTCCCTTCCCCAGAGGCTGGTGCCCGCCTCCCAGCCCTTCTTGGATGGGTCAGAGGTTACCGTGTCTTTCAGCTCGCCCAGCGTCTTCAGCTCCTTTACTTGAGGCTCTAACTGCAGTGCGCTCTTGTTCTCATTGTTCTGGACAGAGAGAAGCAATCATTGGCCACCCGCTATAGCTGGAGACCCCAGAACTTGATGTCTGCCTGCCATGGCACCGGGAAGGGTGGAGGCAGGTTAGAAAAATCATCCCCTCTCTCCCACAGCCATCAGAGCAGGGCTCTGGCTCACAGGTGCCTTTAGAAGTACCATTTCATGTGAGGGCTGCAATGCCCCATTTTACAGGTGGGGAAACAAAGGCCTGGAGGGCTAGGGAAGAGGGCAGGCTCCCCAGGTGGGGCAACCCACCCGCTCCTCGAAGCTACTGTGTGGCTCCGCCTGCTGCTCGTAGAGGGCTTCCCACCCCAGCTCCAGCATCCTCTCCAGCTCCCGCAGCCTCTCCAGCTCCCGCAGTGTCTCCTGCTCCCACAGCCTCTGATCCTGCTCCCGCAGCCTCTCCTGTTCCAGCAGCTCCTCCACTTGGTCCAGCAGCTGCTCCTCCTCCAGCAGCCTCTTCTGCTCCTCCTGTTGCCTGTCCCGTTCCAAAAGCTTCTCCACCTGCTCCAGCAGCCTCTCCTGCTCCCGCAGTCTCTCATCCTGCTCCCGCAACCTCTCCTGTTCCAACAGTTCCTCCACCTGGTCCAGCAGCCTCCCCTGGTCCAGCAGCCTCTCCTGTTCCTCCTGCCACCTCTCCTGTTCCAATAGCTTCTCCACCTGCTCCAACAGCCTCTCCTGCTCTGGAAGCCTCTCCTCCTCCCGCAGCCTCTCATCCTGCTCCCGCAGCCTCTCCTCTTCCAGCAGCTTCTCTACCTGGTTCAGCAGCCTCTCATGCTCTAGCAGCTTCTCCTCCTCCTCCTCCCATCTCTCCTGTTCCAACAGCTTTTTCACCTCCTCCAGCAGCCTCTCCTGCTCTGGCAGCCACTCCTGCTCCCGTATCCTCTCATCCTGCTCATGTATCTTTCTGCTCATGTATTCTCCTGTCATGTATCTCCTCCTCAATATCCTCTCCTGCTCATGTAGCTTCTCTTTTTTTTTTTCTCCTCCTGCTCATGTATCCTCTCCTCCTATCCTCCTCCTCACGTATCCTCTCCTCCTGTATCCTCCTCTCACGTATCCTCTCCTGCCATATCCTCTCTCCTGCTCACGTATCCTCCTGCCATGTCCTCTCCTGCTCTTCCTCCTGTCTCCTGTTCAGGAGACTCAACATCTGATTGTTTTCCACCTCGGCCTGGAGCTGTCTTCCCAGACTCTCCAGCTCCTTCCTTAGGTGTTTGGTCTCATCTTGTAGCTGCTCCACCTCAGAGGGCCCTCCTGGGGAATCTGGGGCCCGGGGTTCAGCTGAGAAAGGAAGCAGACAATAAGGGTCTCTGGATTCTCAAAAAAAAAAAAAAAAAAAAAATCCTCCCATTGGTGCAGAGCTCCTCCTCTCAGGCTTCCCAAACTTGGCCTCACTGCTAAGGATTCCTCGCACCCAGATGGTAGCTAATCTTCCAAGCCACTTTCAATGGAGAGCACTGTGGGTGGCTGACAATGGGCACCCCTCCCTCTTTGCTGATGGGGACACCAAGGCTCAAGCAGATGACAAGGCTTGCAGTCTCCTGGCACAGACCTCTCTCCCTCTGCCTGAAAGCCCTTCCATCCACCCACCTCCCTGGGGCATTCTAAGCCACCCCCACAGCCCTCTGATGCCGGTCCTGCTCCCAGGTCACGCCAGCCCCATCTTACCCCTCTGGTGTTTGAGTTTGAACAAGCTCCTCCCAAGCTTCTGTACCCGATGTATCTCACGCTTCTTCTCCTCCTTCAATGTGCGAACCTGCCCAAAGCACAGGGCGAAAGGGCCCTGGTGATAGGGGCTGAACCTCTAGAGACAGAGTTTGAGGAAGGCCCCCCCGTCCTGCCAGCTTGTGATTTAGAAAGGTGCGTTCATTCAACAAACATGTGCTGAGCAGCTACAGGCCAGGTGTGGTTCTTCACAGCGGAGACAGAACACAGAAAAGGACAGACAGGAGTCCTTGGCCCTGAGGTTTCCATTCTAGGGGCCTTTAAATCTCGGACTCCCAGAGCGAACAGAGACCTTTGACACTCTCTACCTCGTCCAGAAACACGAGCCCAAGGAGGAGAGAAGGCTTGTCCAGACTCAAAAAGCAAATTAGGGACTGAGTCAGGGCAGAAATACAGGCCCCTGACAAACAGCCAGGCTAGTGCTTCCCTGAGAGGCAACAACCCCAGGGAGTGTGTGGCAAGAACTCAAGCGGGGGTGTCTGGAGAAGAGAGAGCCAGCAAAGAGGGCAGTGCACAAGAGCCATGCTGCACGGTCTGTGCTCTGGGGTCCATCCAGGTGAGGCCTGGGTGCCCCAGCTCCCCATTTACCCTTGGCACCAGGGGCCCCTAGACCCTTTCTTCAGGGCCTCAAGGGGAAACGAGTCCAGGTTTGGCAGCGTGGAATCAGAGGACACCACTGGACTCTTCCCAGTGAATGGATGTTTTCACTGGGTTGACTGATTATTGCGGAGCTTTGAGTCCGGGGCTCCTGCTAGTTCTTGGTACTGGCTCTGAGGTGCATGCAGAGAGGAGGAGTTGGAGGAGGATTGCGGGGAGGGGTAGAGAGAACAGTCATTAGAGCTGGGGAGGGGTGTGTCTGGGCTGTCTCAGCTGGCAGAGGGGCAACCAGCCCCTGCTGTGGAAGGAGGTTGGAGGGCTGGCCTGCAGGGTCACTGAACCTCGGCCCAGGGCCTCTTACCTGCAGATCTTTCAGGTTAGTAGATGACACAGGGCCCTCCCCGTAGACACCTGTTGCTGACTACAAGAGATGAGAGTGCACATGGAGATGTTCTGTCCCCCTCAGTGTCTAAGCCCTCTGACTTCCTTTCTTCCCCATCAACTGACAAACATTTCTTTTCTGCCTATCTTGGACCTTTTTTCCCATAACTCCTTTGTGCCAACTTCTCTCATGGTTTTTATCACCCCACCATCCCACCCTGGGGCGCTTTCAGTGACTCCTAAAGGGACAGCCTGATGGCAAGTGACTCTTCTCATTGGCCTGGCTTCCCCTTGAGACTGGGAGTGAGAAAACTCAAACAGCAATGACCATTTCGTGGGTGTCCTGGGTGTTTACAGCAGGGCATGTACTAAGGAGTCTCAGAAAAACAACAATAACAAATCTCATTTAAACTTCACAAATAGATGTTTAAAAATCCCATCTCTATTATATAGATTTGAAAAGAGAGACCCGAAGACCTCAAGCAACTTGCCCTAAATCATATCTTAATGAATCCCTAATCAATCATTAGCAGATGGAGAGGCAGGATTCAAACCCAGAATTCTTAACCAGTGCCCAACAGTCCATCCACAATCTTAACAGTTTTCCTTTACTGCCCCTTAGGCCCTCTGTCCCCAGGACCCTGGCCAGCCAAGACTCACATCCACAGGTGAGCAGTAACCACCAGAAGCCGCGGTGTCAGGGTTACTGCCATTGATTTTCTTTTTCCTGTTAGCTCCTGCTGGAACGCCAGGGCCCTTCCTCTGCCAATATTCTTTTAACTGTGGGAAAGAGGAGCAGTGACACTCATGAGAACTATCAGCCCCTACAGCCACACCCTCCTTCACAGATTTCACAAAATACTCTTATACACCATCTGATTTAATGCCACCACCAACTGTACAAGGTGTTGTCACAATCCTTTAGTGACTGAGAGGGATTGATATCATGGCTAGAAAAAAAAACAAAGAAACGAAATAGTTAATACTGGAACTTAAGCTCTGTCTTCTGACTCCAAGCTCTGGGGTTTTGCCATGAATCAGCAGCTGCCAGGGACTAAAACCAGGGGCGGAGTTAGAACAGTAAACATGAAGCAGGCAGGAACTGTATGCCGTGTGGCTTTGAGTCATACATCCTCACATGTCCGTTAGTGTGAAGAAGTGCACCAGTACCTCTCACACTTTCATATAAATGTGTCCTCACAGCAGAAGCCAGCTTTTCTGTTAAATCTGGGAATTTTTCAGAAAGAGGACAACCCAAGCCTGATTTCAGAGAGAAGTCTGGTATATGCTTAGAAACCTATGTGACTGTCATCCCTAAGGACATTAATGTTTGATCTGAAGAGAATCAAGGGAAACTGATGCTTCAGAAAGATGTCCCACATTCATCCTGTGGCACTCAAAGTACCCCAGGTTGAGATGATATGAGGAAGAGTCAAGCTATCTAGTTCAGCTTCCCAAGATCTATTCCACTGAAGATGAGCAAATCTCACTTCAGAGACCACTGACTGAAGGGCGGTCTGGTCCCAGAACCGTGGAGAACTCAGAAAAGAATGTTAAAGTCTCTCTGCAAAGTAGAAGCCTGGGAGAAAACCAAACTAAGCCCATTCTCCCATGGCCACCCAGAGATGCTGTCAAGGTTTTGAGCACACAGGGGAAGTGCTGTCAAGGTTTTTCCCACTGTCAGTGTCTCTGTGAAGGGAGTAAGGCGGCCTGAAACCTCTTGTTCCTGGGTCCCATAGTCCCCATTCCCCTTCCAACTGGAAATTTGTGCTGTGACCAGAGGAACAGGAAATGGGGTGAGAAAACTTAGGAGACTGGGTTGTAAGATCAACGGCTGGTCTTGCAGCAGTAATGGCAGTTCCTAGGAGGACTGTGACATCACTACATTCCATTCCTCCCAGTGGAGAGGACCACATCAGCGTGATGCCCGAGTCGCCACTCCATGATGGGGGAGGGAAACACAGGGTTCAGACCCAGGTCCTTGGAGACACCAGCCAAAGGAGCCCAGGGAGGTGGAGCTTGGGGCAGCAGGAGGGGAGGGCAGAGTCCGCAGTAGGGAGCCCCGGGAATCACCAGCCAAAAGTCACCCAAGGATGACTGGCAACGGTGGGGCCTGGGACTGGGGTACCCAGGTCCTGGGAGACGCAAGCCCAAAGAGCCCAGGAAGTTCAGGCTTGGGGCAGCAGGAGGTGAGGGCCGAGTATGGAGCGGGGTGCCCGCGGTGTCACCCGCCCAAAGTCACCCTGGGGTAAAGATCGGCAAGGGCAGGGATTGGGCTGCTTGCTGAAGCGGTGGGGCTGACTGACAAGAATTTGGTGGGGGGGAGCCCAGAGTCACTGGTGTTGGGGGTCCCATTCCGGTATGCCTGAGGAATAGTATGGGCTCTGGCAATGGTCTTTTCATCGGAGAGGATCTGTGGTTGGGTTGGGGGTTATGACCTGGCACATTTTACCTTTTTCTTGGCTGCGGTGAATTTTCCCTGTCGTGTTTTTTCTGACATCATGGGGTGTGGAGGGAGGCGGGGTTGGGGTCACATCAGCGAAATCCCAGTGAGCACGGCTGAATGCCTCCAGTGACCTACCAGGCCGCTGTGCAACTGAGCCAGAGGAGGCGTAACCAGGGCCCCACTAGAATTCAGAAGAGGGGCGTGGCCTTAATGCTGCAAGCCCATTGGTCAGTGAGAAAGATGAAAGGGAAAGGAAGCGTGGCCAGGCGGCAAGGTGTCCAGAGGGACCTGTGGCATCACAAGGAAAGCTGCCCATTCAACCGCTCTCCCCACTCTAGTCAGAAGGAGGGGAGGGGCCGCCCACTCTGGGAGAGGCAAGGGTCTGGCTTTTGCTTTAAAAGCTTTAAAACTGTAAAAAATAAACTTAAAAATGTATACATGTGTATACTTTATATATATGTGTGTCTGTGTGTGTGTATCTATGCGTTCCTCCAGAGCTGTCTTCATTATCCAGCTTCTATGCAAAGTCTATGATTTTGGACTATATTTTTCATCTTCATAGGGAGTATAAGAATTACCAGTATCACCTTAACTGAGATACAGATCCTATAAAAATGGAAAATTCATAGCATGCTTGATGATTAAGGAAGTAGACTATAGTATCCAACATTCCAATAAGACAAAATAATCACAGTGATTTCTCTTTTTTGGAAGAACATTTCTCTTATTCTCCTACATTACGAAGATTTTTTTTTTTTAATGATAAACATGTCTAATATCTTTAAAAACACAAAGCTTTTGGGCCGGGTGCAGTGGTTCACACCTGTAATGCCATCACTGTGGGAGGCCGAGGTTGGTGGATCGCCTGAGGTCAGGAGTTCAAGACAAATATGGCCAACATGATGAAACCCTGTCTGTACTAAAAATACAAAAACTAGCCAGATGTGGTGGTGGGTGCCTGTAATCCCAGCTATTTGGTCGGCTGAGGCAGGAGAATTACCTGAACCCAGGAGACGGAGGTTGCAGTGAGCCAAGCTCACGCCCCTGCACTTCAGCCTGGGCAACAGAGCAAGACTCCATCTCAAAAGAAATAAAATAAAACACAAAATAAGTAAGAACACAAAGCTTTCAATTTAATAAGCACTTAAAACTCTCTACTCGTTTAAGAGAAATACAAGTCCCAGTATTCTAGATCACCTGACCTCTCTAAGCCTTGCAAATGAAACTGAATTTCTCACTTGATACTTGGCTATGATTTGCAATCATGAAAACCGAGAATTATGTTACGTCACTGTGTACTGCTTGTTACCTGAATTCCACACTAGGCTGGGATCAAGGGTTGAATCTTTCATGATTTTCTCCATAACCTGTGTGCTTCTTATCCCAGACCAAACTAAATTTTTTCCTAGAATTCTACAGTTTACAGTTAATAGACAAGAGTGGTTTTCAAAATGTAGTCTATGGACTAACAGCATCAGCAGCACCTGAGATCTTTTTATAAGTGCACATTCTCAGGTCCCACCCTGGGCCTGGTGAATCGGAAACTCTGGAGTAGGGCTCAGCAGTCTGTGCTGCAGTAGTACCTCCAGGTGTTCAAGAACCTCTGGCATACGGCAGGCAGAAAAATATGTTTCCTTCTGTAGGTCCAAGCCAAGGATACCATATGTTCTGCCTTGTTATACAACAATGACATGCAATTAAAAGACATAAATCTCCTTCCTACTCCCACCCTCCATCCAACGTGTTTTATTTTTATGAGTTCAATTAGAAAACAAGTGGCAATCAGAGATTTAGTCTAAAATATATATTTACAAGTGTCAGTTCTCATCCAGCCTGATCTCATACAAAACTATTTACGTCCTCTTACACCTCAAGTTTGAAAAAAGTATCTTCACAATGTGAGACTCAGGCACACTAGCAGTTCTATCATAAAACACCAAGTAGATTGGAATGTCCAACCTTACTAGAGAAGAAAAGTGGAATCACTGGTTATATTTCCAAATTGCATTCAACAGGAAATTTGAGTTTTTTTCACCTTCATACTTCCAATTTAATAGAATTAAACCAGAATACGCCATTCTTTCAAAGCCTCTAGCCAGGCAAAGTTTTACCATATTATTTCTTGCTTTCCATGGATGTAAAGCAGATTCCTGGTAGGCACATTTTGTATACCTGCAAAGATGCAGAACTAAACAGTTCCACCTGTTCAACATTGAAACAAAAGTCCTGTAAACCTCAGATGGTGAGTGCAATACTTCAGCATTAGCCCCAAAGCCTCAAATATGAAAGATACCAAGAACGCCACTAGCAATCAAAACTAAACTCTCGACTAGGAGCAGTAGTTCATGCCTGTAATCCCAGCACTTTGGCAAACTAAGGTGGGAGGATTACTTGAAGTCAGGAGTTCAAGATTAACCTGGGCAGCATAGCGAATTCACGTCTCCACAAAAAATTTTAAAAATTAGCTGGGCCTGGTGGCACACAGCTGTAGTCCTAGCTACTTTGCAGGCTGAGGTGGGAAAATTGCTTGAGCGCAGGAGTTCGAGGCTGCAGTAGCTATGATTATGGCACTGCACTCCAGCCTGGGTGACAGAGTGAAACTTAGATAATTACATTTTCTCCTGCTCCTGTTTACACTGAAATCCCTCAGTTAAAAGGCTTTCAAATTTGGCAGGATAAAAATTAAGTGAAAAGTGACTTTGGAGCTTGGCTAGTGAAAGAAAGAAAGAAATGAAAGATAGAAGAAAAGAAGGGAGGAAGGAAGGAGGAAGGGAGGGAGGGAGAGAGGGAACAAAGAAAGAGAAAGAAAGGAAAGGATGAGACAGAGAGAGAGAGGGAAAGAAAGAAAGAGAGAAAGACAGAGGAAAGAATAGGAAAGAAAGAAAGAAAGAGAAAGAAAGAAAAAAAGGAAGGAAGGGAGAGAAAGAGGGAAAAAGGGAGGAAAAAGCAAAGTAAGAATGGCAAGGAAGGAAGAAGGAGAAAGAAAGAATGCAGAAAGAAAGAAAGAAGGAAAAGAAAGGAGAGGAAAGGAAAGGGAAGGGAAATAAAGGAAGAAAAAATGAAATGACAAATTACTTAATGGGAGAAAGTTTTTGTAACCTCAATGACAGATAAAAGGTTTGTATCCGCAGTCTATAAAGAAATCTTTAAAATTATTAAGAAAAGAAAAACAAATGAATTTCAACTAATAATGGGCAATGGAGAAACTGGCACTTCTCACAAGAATAAAAATGGCCAATGGCATATAGAAAGATTCAAAAGCACTAGAAATCAAAAAATTGTCATGAAAACAGTGAGATTTTCTGTATAAAGGCAGGAAAGATGATAAATGGAAGGGGCAACCTGGAGCTCTGTCCTTGTTAGTGGGAGTATAACCTGGGTCACTTTTCCTGGAGGATAATTTGAAAATTTCAATGAAAAACCCTAAAAATTATTTTCCTCCAGAAATTCTACTTCTGTGAATTCAGTCCAAAAATGCTTGCTCGAGTCCATTAAAATGTATATATAAGAAAATTCGGCCAGGCGCGGTGGCTCAAGCCTGTAATCCCAGCACTTTGGGAGGCCGAGATGGGCGGATCACAAGGTTAGGAGATCGAGACCATCCTGGCTAACACGGTGAAACCCCGTCTCTACTAAAAAATACAAAAAGCTAGCTGGGCGAGGTGGCGGGCGTCTGTAATCCCAGCTACTCGGGAGGCTGAAGCAGGAGAATGGCATAAACCTGAGAGGCAGAGCTTGCAGTGAGCTGAGATCCGGCTAGTGCACTCCAGACTGGGCGACAGAGTGAGACTCCGTCTCAAAAAAAAAAAAAAAAAAAAAAAAAAAAAAAATTCACCTCTGGGGTGGCAATGGTTAACTTAATATACACCCAGCTATTAAAAATGATGATGCCAGGATATATTTACTGCCACAGAAATATACTCAAAATATACTAAGTGACAAAAGACTATATATTATGATTCTACTTTTTAAAAGGTTTATATGCATAAAAACATATAAAAAGCAACAAACCAGAATGCTCTGAGTGACAAATTAAAGATTTTTCCTAATATTTGTCATGCAAATTATTACAAAAAGAATGATTTCCTTTATAATCAGGGAGAATTGTTATTTGCATGTATTTGTATTTAAATCTCTTTTCTTTTTCTTATTTTTTCTCCTGTATGTATCCCATGTAGGCTGGAATCCCTGCCTCTTGAGGTAAATCAGCCCGTTGTTGGGAAGTGCACTACATAAAGCTGCCCCATCCTCCTTTACTTTAAGAGATCTGGAGACATTTTTGTTTCAAATTGTTTGATTGTTCTCAGGTTATTTTTTTTATGTATGAAATTGAGGAAAAGACAAAGGAAAGGCTGACTCCCTACCCTCCTGGGGCTACTCTTCCAATTTTTGCTGCTATTGTTATGTATTAATATTCACTGGGTACCAAAAAGATGGGCAGCCCCTTAGATCCTTTGTTCTTATCTCTTTGTCATAATCCTACTTCATTCCTCATTCCTTCATTCACTTATTTTTAAAAGGGTCATGTGTACAAATACATAGTTCAGAAAATTTTAAATATATCTATAAAAGTATGTGGCAAAATCCCATTCACAGTCTTATTCTCCTTCCACAGCCACTTTTAATTGGTTTCTTATATGTCATTTCAGAATTTATCTTTGCAAATGCACATTTATATTCTTATTTTACTCTTTTCTAGCAACACAAACAGTAGCATAAAATACATACTATACCATTCTTTGTTCCTTTTTAAAAACACACACAATATATGTGTTCTTTTGCATGAGTACATAGGTCTTTCTCATTCTTCTTTACAACTGCACAGTATTCATTGTTTGGATGTACCACAGTTTACTTAACCAGTTTCCTGTTGGTGGACACTGAAGTCATCCATATCATACTATTACAAACAATGCCAAGCATAACCACCCACACACACCAAGTTCATTTCTGAATCTGCCTTTGATGAAGCCTCTATTTGAATCACCATAAGGTCATATGGCTGAAAAGTTAGCCCCTTTTTTAGTTTTCACTATATACAGCAGTATGTAGCCAAAGACTCCCTTGGGCAAAGCAAATGTGCTCTTTGGGGATTTACTTCATAACAATAAATGGATAAACAGCACACCAAGGAGAAACATTTCTATTTAACCATGCACGTGTATGTATATAATACATACTTATGCATAGAAAGCGTACAATAAATCCATCAAAGCATTAAGCATTGTCTCAGTATGGTGGATCTATGGAGTGCTTCGTAGACAGCCTTCCTTGCCTATCAATCTTTCTAGTTTCAAAACAGTGAATATGTACTATTTTTGCAATATAAAATTTCAAAAAATGTTAAATTAAGCCGGATACATTCCTTCAGTCTGTCCGACATTTGTATGGTGCTCCAGAGTGCTCAAATATCACTTCATTTAAAAAAATTTATTTT